GATAAAACAATATCATACAAAAAATAAAAATAAGAAACAATAAAACTCAAACCGGACAAACCTGGTGTCACAACCAAACTTCCCCAAAGCAACCCACAACACTCTTTTCCAACTCTGTCCTCACCCTATCCCAAAGCTTGGGAGAAAAACCAGGTCTTGACCATCCGAATGTTCTTTTTACCAGATACTGCTGTATTTCCAGATAAGATACCTATCTTAAATATCTTTGTCAGCTAGAAATTCAGACTATTCCTCTAAAGTTTGTGAATATAACCTTTTTTTTCATTTGTAAGACCCTTTCTATCCACCCTTGTTTTTGAAATAATAGATATTCCCAACTAAAGAACCTAACATTGCCAAGCTCCTATTCAAAGGGACACTTAATGTGTCAACTAATTCTTTCCCACACAATACCTTTCCCAAATTAATACAAAGAATCAGTATTGCAACTAAACAAATGTTCTGTAGAATCCTGGTCACCGTCAAGGACAGTAAAGGTCCTGATGATGGGTTCAGAACCACCCCTACATTATTATTAGTGGTAGTACCAGTTGAAATCTTCAATTTCTTTCCTAATTTCTTACCCAAGTTATTGATTTTTAAATTTTTTATTCATTTAAAATATTTATATACCACCCTATATCATATTCTCAGGGAAACTTACAGTATCATCTTCCACTGAATGCATAATTAATACATTCCCAAATGGTGTTGCATTGAACTAGTTATAATGCAATAGGAACTTTTTCACCACAACTTGGCAATATAGGTTTCTAGGGAGTTTTTGAATTAATGAACAAAATGTCCTAGTAACTGTGTGATAGAGGTGTCTGTTTAAAACAGCAAGTGTCAGAATACAATCTCCTATTTTCTATTCCATTTAATTTTACATTGTACTTTAGCTGGCAAGGATAATTACATTATTTCTCATTTCAAACACTACGTAATTTACAGCTGAGAAGAGAGCGGGTTTTACAGATAGAAATTAGAATCAGAGCAACATTTTTTTAAATGGTCTTTTTGTTTAACTATTAAGAAGGGTTAACACCAAAAGGTTGCCTGAGATCAACAGCTTTATCTTCAATTTTTTTCTTTTATTTCAGGCAATCATCGGTATCTTAAGATGTGCAATCCATTATCCATTGAAGAAGTAGAACTGGTTATACCTGCTCCAACGCACTACCATATAATTGAACTAGATGAAAAATAATGATGGCAGCACAAAGTATTCAAGGTCAAAATTAAATCTGCATTTCCCCCCACAAAGCAACATTATTTTGCATATGTGGTATCAGAATAGATTAATTAATTTGCTTGTATATATGAATAGATAAAAAAAATCAGATGCACATTGGATTTATTCCTGTCTTTAACTCTTGCATAAATATGGAAATAAGGAGAAGGGTAGATGTTGGCTTGACATTCTCCTAATACAAGAGTTTGGTCAAAATAGTTTTGTGGAGAATATAAAGCCCTGTGCATTTAGGAAATAATGGGATGTAAGGGCCAGTAAGGGCCAGTCCAAGAGCAGTTATAAAATAAAGCATGTTTTAAAGAGATTCTTGCAAGGGCCACTGATGGGGGTGGGGGGGAGAGGGAGGGGAACCTGGGGCATGTAATTTGCACTTTTGTTCCTAGGGGGTCAGTAGTAGAAAGTAAACCTTTCACCTTCTTGTGGTCTCTTTCTGTGTAACCCATTCTTCTTCCTTTCTGGGCAATTAGACATATTCTCTTTTTTTCTGAGGCAGGTGTCAGTGGGAATGCTGAAGGAAAGTGACAGGAGAGTATTTTCCCATCTCTCCAGAACAAAACAGAGCAGCCTCAAGTACAGAGCAGCAGCTGTCTCAGGTACATATTCACCTGCTGATGAGGGTAGAAGTCTAGTGGGGCAATGATGGCTGTCATAACATCTGCTTCCTGGTCACTGCTTTTGTTGTCCCCATGGCTTTGTTGGTTTATGATCTCACCCTCGTAACGGGCCACTGTTCCACGACTTGCCCAGTGAACCCATAGTGGAGAGCCTTATACCTTCTGGGTCTGAGCAGCCATAACAGCAAGAGGGAATTAACATATGAACCAAAAGATCCCTGCCCATGTTTTATATTGTTGCTGTTAGAGGGTAGTTCCATATATATATATAACTGATATTCCTTCAAGCCATTGTATTTAAGTATCTGTTTACTTAATTTTACTGATTATCTGCTTGCCAGGAATTCAAATGGATTTTTCTCAGCATTTTCATTATTTTCTGGGACAGAAAATTGAATGATTAGGTACCTGTTTTCCATCTCCTCCAGGTTAAATTGCTATAACAGTTTTTCCACTGAGCTGGAAAAGCATTATGAAATATCAGCTGATACAAAATACTGAAGCCTGATTTTAATTCAGTGATACTTACATTTAAACTTATAATTACTTTGGTGACAAGATATTTAAATTGCTCCCTCCTTGCATTTAAACCTGCCTATATCAATTTTTGAAGGATCTGTTTTCTAACTTCTGTCTGAAGTGTCAGGACTGTCTGGGGTTCTTTGATATGGCTTTCATTGTTATGATTGCTGGGCTGTGGGATTCAAAAATAGAAAAGAAAGGATATTTGTTTCCACACACCCCCAATTCTTTGATCTTGTTAAGATATAAAAATGAAGTTTTGCTGGAATTTTAGTTCATTTGTTTTTGTTCTGTCCTGGCCCATGGAATTCACAGACACACGGGTAAGTCTTATATCTTTACTAAAAAGGTTTTCTAACAGAACTCTAATGGCAAAAAGGTTTGAACAATCAATCATAGTCCCTATGCCCAAAATACCCAGGCCACCAAAAAAAAAAAAAATCTCAACCAGCTTAAATTAGAGGCAAGAGACAGTTCAAGTCGTTAATGAAGTACTAGGGGGGGTCAAACAAACATGGTATGAGTTTCAGGGTCATTACTTGAGAAGGCTGGCTAGGGAGTGAAGGAACATAACGGTGAGGTAAATGGAGAGTTGTCACCAATGGATCTGTGAGGCACTCAGCTCTCCTTGGTTCAGCCCTCCTTTCTTTGCAGCAGATCCTTGCACTGGGGGAGGTGTTAGCTCTACCTCTTCATCTTCAAGGCCAGTGATGGTTGCCTGTCCTGGTTGCTAGGCAACACTGCTTTCCTTGCTTGTATCGCTTCCAGCTGAATGATCCTCCTGCAACTCCTCTTCATCTTCTGAGTCTGAGCAGGCCATGACAGGTTTTTTTCTTGCTAATTGCAACTTTTCCGTTAGGTTTTTTAAAAAGTGTGCTTACTATATTTTTCATTGGGTTATGATTTCATGATACTTTGTAATGTTTTTACAGAGTTGGGTGGCATTTACATTTGATCAGTTTTATGGTTTATGATAATATGACATTATTTCATGGGGGGGTATTTGTTTTTTTTTAATATGTATTTTGAAAACACATTCATTTTTCACCCTAATATACAGTGCTTTTATATCAACGTTCCTAATATATGTTGTTAATATACATTCCTCATGAATTTTTTAATGTAATTTTTCCTGATGTTATCCTTTGTTCCTACATACATGCATAACCACCATACTATTTTGTTTTTGGATAAGCAACACAATACAAGGTGGGCAAAAAGATTAAGAAGTGATTAGCAAAAGAAATAGAAGGAAGTCTAGTTTATATTAACATCATTCACTATATCACTCTATATTTTATATTTTTGAAAACCATGCTTCCTTCCAACTTGCCCATATTCTTATTTGGACATGCTCCACACCTTGCATAA